AAAGCCTCTGTTTCCTTGTGTTCATGCACCAACCCTGGCTCTCGCAGTCTTTCCACCCCCTCTTCTGCAATGGTCCCTGAGGCATGGATGAGCACGGTTTAGTATAGGAGTTCTCTCCAGAGATATGCACTTTGCAGTCTCTTATAGCTACACCTTGGCCGCTTGTAGCCTTCTTTGTGCATCACACTCTGTTGCATGAGGAAGCTTCACTGGTAAGAGTTGAGGGATGTATTACTTTTCTCTCTACTCCCTGTTCCTCTATGTTCCATGAACCTTAGGTGTAGCAGTCCCACTGTAGATATGTCACTTAGGACTGGGAATCTCTCAGACATATATTCTCTGTGTGTGACCTCTTGTAGAACTCTGTAATTGTCTCAGTGTGTTGCAGAAAGAAATGGATGAATTTCTAAATTCATGGAAACCACCAAAACTACATCAACTAGAAATCAACAGCTTAAACAGACCCATAACAAATAAGGAAATTGAAGCAGCAGTACCAAACCTCCCAACTATGAAGCATTCACAGCAGAATTGTACCAGACATTCAAAGAAGATCTACAACCAATACTTCTTCAATTATTCAAAAAGCATTGGGAGAACTCCCAAACTCCTTCTATGAAGCCAATATTACTCTAGTAACAAAATCAGGTAAAATACAACAAAAAAGAAAACTGTATGCCCTTATTCTTAATGAACATAGACATAAAGATTTTCTTTTTCTTTTTCTTTTTAGTAAAAGTGGGTCAGTTTATGACCTTGCAAAGCTGGGCACCATCCCAGAAATGGCAGATGCACTGATCGAGCACAGAGAACAGTGGTTTTATAATTCTAACACAGGTACCTTCCTCACTTCCTCAGGGGTGAATAATCAGGAGGGAACAATCTTATATGTCATCTGTCAGACATAAAGATTTTCAACAAAATACAAACTGCATACAGACAGGCACACATCAAAAAGATAATCCATCTTGATCAAGTCAGCTTTATTCCAGAAATGCAGGGATGCTTCATATAAGTAAGTCAATAAACATAACATTATATAAATGGATTTAAAGACAGAAATCACATGGTCCTCTCAATAGGTGCAGAAAGGGCCTTTGAAAAAATCTAACGTGCATTCATGTTAAAAGGAATTGGACTGGAGGGAACACACCTTAACATAAAGTTATATACAAGTCCACAAACAACATAATTCTAAATGGAAAAAGACTGGAATCACTCCATTAAAATCAGGAACCAGACAAGGCTGTCCACTGTCTCCACTCTTTTTCAATACAGTGCTTGAAAGTGCCTAGAGCAGTAAGTCAAGAGAAGGAAATTAAAGGAGTACTAATTAGAAAAGAAGAGGTCAAATTATCCCTATTTGCAGATGATATGATATGTAAGAGATCCCCAAAATTCCACCAGAACTGATCAATACTTTCAGCAAAGTGGCAGGTCACAGAATTGATTTACAAAAATCAATAGCCTTTCTGTATTTCAATAACAAGCAGTTGGAGAAACCCTCTGATAATAGACTCAAAAAATATCTAGGAATAAACCTAATCAAAGACATCAAAGATCTCTACAATGAAAATTTGAAGAAAGGAATAGAGGAAGACACCAGGAGTTGGAAGGACCTTCTGTGCTCATGGATTTGTTGAATTAATATTGTGAAAAGGACCATCCTACCAAAAACAATCTATAGATTCAATGCAATGGCAATCAAAATCCCATGACCTTCTTCACAGAGCTAGGGAAAAAAAAATCGTAAAATGTATATGGAATCACAAAATACCCCAGATAGCCAAGGCAATCCTGAACACAAAGAGCAATCCTGAACACACAGAGCAGATCTCAAACTATATTATGGAGCTATAGTCATAAAATCAGCATGGTACTGACACAAAAACAGACACATAGATCAATAGAACATAATTAAAGACCCAAACATGAGTGTATACCATTTCAGCCATCTGATACTTGACAAAGGTGCCAAGAACACACAGTGGAGGAAAGACAGCATATTCAACAAATGATGCTGGCACATCTGGATCTCCACTTGTAGAAGAATGCAATTGAACTCTTCTCTTTCACCCTGCACAAAAGTCAACTCCAAGTGGATCAAAGATCTCAATATAAAACCTGAAACTTTGAAAGTAACAGAAGAAAACATAGGCAATACCCTATAAGATATAAGTGTCAGAAAGGACTTTCTGAATCAGATATCAGTTGTTCAAGCATTAAGGTCAACTACTGACAAGTGGGACCTCATTAAGCTACAAAGCTTCTTTACAGCAAAAGAAACAACTTAGGAAGTGAAGCGGAAACCCATTGAGTGGGAGAAAAACTTCACCTACTACACATCTGACAGGATTAATATCCAGAATATACAAAGAACTAAAAAAAAACAAAAAAACAAAATAAGCGACTCATGCAATGTATTTTGATCGCATTCACCCTTCCTCCCCAATCTCCTCTTTGGTCCACCCCCACCTTCCTAACTCCCACTTTGTGTCCTCTATATATTTTCTAGAGCTCATCAAAATTGTCATACATTTTATGCCTATATGTGTACCAGACCCTACAATGCACTGTTAATATTTTTCTTTGAATAAGTATCTTCTGCTTTTTAATAAAACATTTCATTAATTCTATGGGAATTGCATACATGTGCATGCAATGTATTTTGATCATATTCACCCTCACTCCTCCCCATAACTCCTCCCAGGTCCATTCCCTCCCACCCCTTCCCCAACTTTGTATCGTCTTTTTTTTTTTTTTTTTTTTTTTTTTTTTTTTTTTTTTTTAAAAAAAAAAATAACCCACTGAGTCTAGTTTGTTCTGCCCATATGCTCTTGGGTAAGAGCTACCCACTCTAGCATGGCTAATCTATCGTTTAAGAGCCATGCCCTTAAAGAAAACTGATTGTTCCTCCCCCAGAAACTATCAGTTGTGAATAGTTTCTTAGCTAGGGGTGGGGGCTGGAGCCTCTTGACTAATTATATTTTAAAGCAACCCTCCCAAAAAGTGTTTTATATTTGCCCACGTTTCTGATTGTCTTGTGGAGAGAGAGAGAGAGAGAGAGAGAGAGAGAGAGAGAGAGAGAGAGAATTTGCCTAGTATTATTTCCTTCTTGAGAATTTTAACATTTCTTTGTATTAACTTTTATTTGCTCCTTGAGAATTCCATGCATGTGTACCGTGTTTTATGATCATATCTTGTAGTGCACAGCTACTGCTATTGACATCTCTCACCTCTTGTTTGTCTAAGGAAGTCTATTTTTCTATTGTTTCTGAAAAAAAAAAAACCATCTTCCGATGTGAGTGCAGCGTTCTAGACTGGCAGCCTTCGTGGCTGCTGCCACCATCTTGGCTCTGCTGTTTGCTGATGTCTTTTTCTGCTTGCCTCTCCTTAAGATTTCTGTTTTGTTTTGTTTCTTACTAATTTCTCTAGGATGTGCCTGATTACACTTTGCATTCCTTTGTAGTCCTTTGTTGGACTTACAGGTTTATGAATAGAAATTTGGAAACTTTTTTATTAGTTATTTCCTGAAATTTTTTTCTATTTATCAAATTTTCTTCCAGGACTCTAATTACACATATGTTAGATAGTTTAACATTGCCTCAAGCCTTTCTTGTTTTTCTTACTTGTTCATCTGCTTCCTCGCTGGCTTTGAAGCACTGTCCACCTCCTGGCTTCAGATGCGTTGCTCTTCTTCAGCATCTTGTCCTGTTCACCCACCAAAGCATGTTTTAGTCAGGTGTCTTTGTTTAATTTCTACAAGTTTCATTTCAGTAATTTGATGTTTTTCCTTATCATGTCCCTATTCCTGCTATAGAGCTTATTTATATTAGTTCTATTGTCAGTCTTGGGTTCCTTACATCACTCCTGTCTTTGCTGCATCTGCCTACTTACCAGCTTTTCTTCACACTGATGGCTCAGATTTCTTCTTTTCATGTTTATTGATTGTAATTATTTTGCAGGGAGTTGGGTATTAAAAAATTTACAGTGTTTCATGGTGGATTTTGCTTTCTTTAAACAGTGTTTAGCATTGTTCTAGCACTCTGTTCAGTGACTTGGGATCAGTTTGACTCTTTGGAGCCTTGCTTTTAAGCGCTGTAAGATGGATAGAGGGCACTTCATACTTAGGGTGAATTTGGGACAGCTATGGTGCAGTACCCGTCTGAGGCCTCCACCTAATGTAGAGCCTCGTGTGTCACATGAGGGCTTTCTACTCTGGCTGGTGGGAATGTCAACTCTTCTTTGCCTTGTTCTGCTTTTATGAGTCATTGGTCTGCTACTTTCTGATGTTTCTTTCCCAAGCCTCAGATAGTTTCCTTAACACACAGCACAGCCTCTTTACCACAGATATGACCCGCTCTGCAGATACTGAGCACAGGCTCTTTACAGACCTTTCTCCTGTATTCTGCCTGGAAAATCTTGTCTACATTAATTTCCCCAAACTTTGTCTCTACAATACAGGGAGAGTGTTGGGCACTGTTGTATTTTTCTTTCTGTCCTGTGTCAGTCTTCCCTGTCTGAGAACTGCTTTCACGCAACAAGATGGGGGAAATCGTACAGTTTACACTTGTTTGTCTTTGCCTTTCCCAAGGCCCATAGTCCTGTGGCGCTTATTATTCAGTGCTTGGAAACTATGTTATACGTCTTTTTCTAGTTTCTAGATATTTCTTGCTGCTAGATTACATAATTTGGCACAGCTCTGCTCAGGAAGAGAGGGAAGTTTGGAATGAAGATACGCTACAAAATAATTTCAAATAATGAGAGGTGGTAAAGCATTACCTTGAATGGTAGGAATGAAGATGAAAAAACAGCTCAGAATACTTTTACAGACAAAATAGGTGTAACTTGGGAAGTGCTTGTATGTGGGACACAGATGGGAAGATGTGAGATGACTACCGTTTTAAGACTAGTGGGACAGGGACACAATTTAAAGACTTGGGGTAAAATATTCAAGGACATTTATTCTTTGGCTTTCTTTTTTATATTATGTATCATAGGAGATGGTGACAGAAATGTACTCTGGCCCTTGTGTAGCTATAGAGATTCAACAAAATAATCCTACAAAGACATTTCGAGAATTCTGTGGACCTGCTGATCCTGTAAGTTAAGCTATTGCTTTATTTTGTGTTCTACATTAACTATATATTTTAACAAGTTTGAATTTTTAGTTTCTTCTGTCTCATAAATGATATAAAAGTAAATATATACAAAATTTATTCAAAATAGTACCTTACAAATAGTTTTTATTAGTCTACTGGTAACCTAGAGTGGACAGAGTATTTATTGTGGCACTTTTTTATTGTTTCTTTTTGTTAAGTTATCTAGATTAGTAAATTTTCCAAACTTTATTTCCAAGATACCATCCTTTCACATAAAAAGAGCATAAAACTCTGAATGTGAAGAATATCAATATGGTGGTTTTATCCTACAAGCATAAGTAAATATGAGCAATGGAACTTATCTAGGAGGATAGAACAGTGTATCTATTTTCAAAGATCTCAAGAGTACACACATAAAGAGCTTTTAGAACAACTGGACTTACAGAAGAAAATACAAATAAAGGCCAAAGAATCTGTAGCTCAGATAAACCCAAATGTTGAAGAATTGTATAGTAAGGGAGCAGCTAATAATTAGGAGAATAGTTTAAATAAAACTTGTCAGAGGAAGAGTGATATAAACGTACATTTGAATGACAAATCAGGACACAGGAAAATTAAAGGATATTAAAAAGCTGTAACATTAGCAGTTAAGAGCACTGGCTGTTCTTGCAGAGAACCTCAGTTTCCAGCACCCACATGGCAGCTAACAACTGTCCATAACTCTGCTTCCAGGTGATCTGATGCCCCCTTCTGGCCTCCATGGGCATTGAACAGAATGAGTGCACTTGTGTACATGCAGACAAAGCACTCATACACATAAAATAAAAATAAATAAATGTTTTAAATGCTATAACATTAGGTACAAAGGCAACAATGAAAGGCTGAAATTTTTCTCTGCTATACAGCAGGAATGCTTCCTTGGTTTCTGTGGAAAATGCATTTCTAGAAGCACAAAAAATCCCATATATTTTTCTAGAGAAAATAAGGTAGAAAATGGGATTTAAGTCTCATATATTAAGAAAGAGGAATTCTTTATATGTAACTCGATTTTGAGAATTATTACAGGATTGTTTCTTTGGTATAACTGGAGCAAATTAAATTGGAAGAGATTGAAGAGGGGGTTCTCGAGTAGACCTGATAACAGCAAGAATAGTCTGCAAGGCCTCCTTTGTATCTTTTAGAGAGAAAGAATAGATACAAATAATGCTTGGGTTGTGGATGTGTGATGCTTAATATGGTTCTGCTATAGAGAACACTGGGAGAGTGTTGGTGATGCTATTAGTGCCAATATTGAATGTCAGTCACAAGAAGGTAAGGGGTGGTTTTGACGTACGGACAAAGCCACTTTGTCATTTTTAATTTCTGCTTTTTTGCTTGATAGCCAAAATGGGGAGGTGTCCATTTCTTGAGAAAAGTAAAACTTAAGTGATAGCTGACCAAACAGGAAAAAAGAAATAATAATAGTAATAAAAATAAGTTAAACTTTTTCATCATTCTGTTCTCTCATACATTCAACAAATAGTTATTGACCCTGCACTAGCCTTATGAATGTAAACATAGACGCTTCAACCAGGTGAACGTGAATGTGCTGTAGTCGCAACAGCTTGGAAGGAGGCTGAGGTGGGAAGGTCAGCTGAGCTCATGAGTGTGGGGTCCACCTGGAAAAGAGGGCTAAGAGATCACATCCTCCAGCATAGAAGCAGAGAGATGCTAGAAGTGAGCCTGAGGCTTTGAACTCTCAAAGCTCACCCCCAGAGATGTGCTTCCTCTAGCCAGGCCTCACCTCCAAAGCACAGGAAACCATGCTACCACCTGACCAAGTGTTCAGATAGTGGAGCCTATGGAGAGCATTCCTCATCCAAACCATGAGGAAAATGGGGGAGTGAACATACGAGTATCTGCAGAATGTAGAGTCGTAAAAAGACAAGCAAATGTGGATCTTTTTCTTTACAGATATTTATTTAATGAACATTTCTTGAGTGAATAGTATGCGCAAGACGGCTAGGTTGTAGGTCCAAGTTATCGTTCTTTAAGAAGCTCAGTCTCATAGTTTGGAAATTTTCAGGGTCATGAATCTTGCCTCAGCATAATTAAAATTACTCCACTGTGGGTTTTTGAATTTGTGTTTTAATTTTCATTGTTTATGAACCTTTTATAGAATTATAGGAAGTCACACCATGGAAAATTTAAAATTTAGAACTACTTGAGCATGTAAAGCAGTAGTGGCTGCCTCAGAGGTGAATAATGGAATGTTTAGTTCTACTTTGCTGTACTTTTCAATTTTTCTTTGAAGCCTTTATAGTGCCTTCATAACTAAAAAAAAGTGTATCATAAACCTAAAATTAATGACCTTTTAGATGAAGAGGCATCTATTTATTAGAATGATTTTCTTCTGAGTCTCGGGGTCCTGAATTATAGCTCTTTTTTTTATTAACTTTTAAAAAGAGCTTATTTTTAAATTTTTTTATTTTATGTGTATGCATGTATTGCCTGCGTGTAGGTAAGTACACCCATGTCATGCAATGGCCGCGGAGGTCAGAAGAGGCTGTCAGATCCCCTGGAACTGGAGTTACAGACAGTTGTTAGCTGTCATGTGGGTGCTGGGATTCGAACCCAGGTCTTCTGCAAGAACAACCAGTGTTCTTAACCACTGAGCCATCTCTCCGGATATCAGGCAGTACCAGATATTTTGATCGATGTCTTCATATTAGAATAAATACGGTGCAGTGAAGCCAGGCTTTCAGGACAATCAGACACCATGTTGCCTTTGGTCTCAGCCATCTTTTGGACTCATTTCCTCCTTTTCTTTCTCCCATTTCTCCCTACTCCTCTAACAAGTAGATATTTAATGCTAAACATGTTAGACATTTTACTAAGTGCTTACTACATTTATGTTAGTGATCAAACAAATACAGTTTATTTTCAAATTCAGAGATTGTAACTGATTTATATCCCATCTTTTGAGTTGTTCAACTGTCCATATTTTCAATATGAGCATGTTTTGTGTAAAGATAAAAATAAACTTTAAAAAACAAAAATTAAAAAATAACCTAGCTCTAGGAAAAGACAGAATTGCTAATTAATACAAATCTTGCTTTAAATTGCTGATCTATTAATATATTATAATATCTTGAAATAATTTAGGAATTCACTTTTTACTATCTAATCATTCTCATATTTAAAGAAAGACCCTGGGCTATCATACATGTAAATATAATTAGTGTCTGAAAGACTGTCTGGTACAAAATGGTCATGCAATTAATATTTGGTGAATAAATGAATACATTGGCTATGTTTTATGTAGGACCCAGTATCTGATATTAATTCATTGTTTAAATGTTCCTAAAAATTTTTGAACCTATTTTCTATAGTCTTTTGTAAGATTTAGAGCTTTTATAAGTTGATTCAAATGAAGGTTCAGTCTAACAGAAACCATTAGGTCACTTTGTAACCATGTGGACTGAAGATTGGCATCATCTCATCATCAATGTCTGTGTTGGTGGCAGATTCTTCACTTTTTTTTTGCCTTTTACTGGAGGAATATACTCATTGCTTTTGAATACAAGTTTCTCCACTCTCTCTCCTCCAAAGAGCAGGATGATATTGGGAGGAAAATCATTGGGAGGGAGAGAGATTGTAGACTTTAAATTTCTAAATTAGTATTTTAAAAGAATGGAAAAAATGTTTTAGTCTAATGCAATTTGTGGACTGATAAGAGTACATTTATGAGGGTGGGTTTCAACCTCCATTGGTGTAGCAGCTCTGATCTCAGCAGACCACCAGAGAGTGATGAGTTCTGGCCTCTCTGTGGCCTCCCTCATATGGTGAAGTCACACTGAGTGTACCTGACTGGAACCTGAATTGGGCTTCTGTGGGAACTCCTGAATAGCTGATCTGAAGCCATCAGTTCACTCCAAATTTAACCTGAGAGAACCTGAACCCTGTACCTACCAGGATCTAGGCACCCTGATAATACAAACAGAAGCATACTTCAACTTAATTCCCATATCAGAATCATAAACAAAAGAAATTCACATGCCAAAATCACAACAAAAGAATGATAAAATGGAAAGTCAAAACATTGTGTCCCCACCAAACTCCATCAGTCCTATAGAAGAGTTCTACAGGGAGAAACCCTAGAGATAACCAGGACACTGAATTTAAAAGAATAATCATAAACATGATCAGGGAATTCAATGAATTTAAAGAACCCAAAAACAAATCAAATAGCTAAAAGAAGATAGGGATAAACTTCTGAATGAATTCACAAAAGAGATAGAAACCTTGAAGAAAACTCAGGCAGAAATGAAGAAGGAAGTGAAAAACTCAATAAGCCAACTTGAAACAACAAGGGAAAGCCTCACTGCTAGAATGAATGAAATAGAAAACAGAATATCAATACTGGAGGATAAAGTTGAAGAATTGGACCACTCAAGCAAAGATTATGGAAAATTTAAAAAAAACACAGGAATACAATATGCAAGAGATATGGGATACCATGAAAAGATCAAATCTACGAATCATAGGAATAGAGGAAGGAGAAGAAGTTCAGGTTAATGGTACTGACCGGATCTTTAAAAGGATTGTAGAAGAGAATTTCCTGAAATTAAGGAAAGACATCCACATGCAAATACAAGAAGCACATAGAACACCAAATAGACAGGATCAGACAAGAAATTCCCCACGACATATGATAGTAAAAATACTAAATGTACATAACAAAGAGAGGATACTGATAGCAGCAAAAAGAAAAACAACAAGTCGCATACAAAGCCCATCAGAATTACAGCTGACTTATCAATGCAAACTATGAAAGCCAGAAGAGCCTGGACCAAGGTATTTCCAATTCTACATGAAAATAGATGCCAGCCTAGAATACTTCACCCAGCAAAAATGTCTTTTATAGTTGAGGGGGAAAGAAAAATCTGATCCACATGAGTAACCTCAAAGAACACATGTCCACAAAACCAGCCCTTCAACGAATACTTGAAGCAATACAG